CGTGCATTTACAGACCCTCGTATTATTTAGTATAATTTTGGAACCAAGTAACGTATTATAATGATATTGGACTTATATGAATTGGGTGACATCGAGGAATGTATATTTGCAAAAAAAACAATATTTTATTGTTTATAATTTTGTACAGTATGATAAGTTTTGTAACACTCCCCAATATGCATTGCAGGCTGATTAGTGCATGTTTGACAGTAATAAGTGGTTTGACGCCTGCCACCAGGTGTTTTCCTGTTAGAACACACAATGCAGTCCCGTTTTCTTTGTCCCCATCGGGAATATGTAGTTTATTGTTTAATCCGACACAAAACCCGCTGACATTTCTTGTATATATCTTAGTAATTTTACGATATTTTGATTTAATTTCTTGTGCCATTTCAAGATAAAACTTCAGGGAAACATGCATGTCTCAAAAAGTTGCGTTGAAATAACTCAATTCCCCGTAATCACTAATAAACTGCAATGTCCCCTGAGAGGGGACATCCGAGTGATATGCTAGAATTCCGATGTCCCCTGAGAGGGGACAGCGGAGTGCAAAGGGTTAATAACTGTTACACATGGAGTTTCAACAACATAATTATTTAGAACCTGGGCAAACCTTTAAGGCTAGATACCATGTAAAGATCATCCTGCTTATTTGAAAGCAGAGAGTTCTTAGGATAGATAGATGAACAAATTGCAAAATGCACTGCCTGGTTGGTATTTTAATATATGTATGTTGTAGACTAAAAGCAGAACAGTGTTTCTACACTTACATAATTAGCTTTCAGCTACCTGTGGCCTACTAGCTCAGTAACTCAGTATACATTCTAAGCCACTACAAGAGCAAATATCTATCCATAACAGAAAATAAAATTTAAAAAGAGAAAAAGGAAGTGACTGTAACTTCAATTAGATAAACTTTCAGATTTCACCACCAATTTCCCATAAAGCATATTGCCCACATCTGAATTTCTCAGAAAACTCATTAGTTGTTATAAGGACCTCTCTGAACAGGTGCTCTGAACACACTACTATATTTTCATAAAGCATAAGAATACAAATAAGTGATGCTTATCTTTGAGTGTTAAATTAAGGTGCAGGTATCTACATAAAGGGGCATAACAAACCCTTGGGAGGATATTGCTTTCTGTACCAAAAATAAAACTACTAAAGCTTTATAACTGTAGTGTAATACTATATATTATTGAATGTCAGGGGATTGATCTGTAAGAGGTTAGGTAACTCTTCATTAGACAGATCAATATTTCACTTGTAGGAAGTCATTCTGCCACCACTGACATTATTTCAAACAGGCTGGGACCCAATTCTATTCTCTTTTTGTATTACTTATCTCCAATAAAGTACATGGAGCAATGTTTGAGAAACCAACTGAGAAAACAAAAGAGAAGGAAATCATATGGGTTCTCCAGTGTACAGGGGGCACACACCAGATCCAGCCAAAGAACATCCGGTATTTGATAGCATTTAAGACTAATGACCCAGGCAGGAGAAACCAAGATGGCGGCATAGGTAAACACCGGAAATAGCTGCCTTGCACAACCACTTCAAAAATACAACTAAAAGACAAAACGGACATCATCCAGAACCACTGGAAGGCTGGCTGAGTGGAAATTCTACAACTAGAAGGAAAGAGAAAAGCACACTGAGACTCAGAGGAGGTGCGAAAGTAAAGTGCAGAGGTACGGAGGCACAGGCCGAAAGGGCTGGAAACTAAGGACACAGTTGTCTTTTTCAATCGGGAGGGAGTCTCAAGCTCCCGACGGCTCTGAACTCCAGTTCCGGGCGAGTCTCTGGGGACCCAAACTCATACGGGGAGAAACTGGACTGTCTGGCAGCGGGCGGAACTCGAGGGCGGCTTTCTCTCAGAGGTGCTGGCAGCGATTACCTCGGGACACTGAGACCAGGGGCCTCTTAGGGCAGGACTGAGGATCAGCCATAGCTGTTTGCTCCACCCTGTTGATTCCCTGAGACCCTGCCCCACCCAAGCTGTGTGCAGAGGCTTTTGCATATGAATGACCTGGCCCTTTGCAATCTAAAATTACCTAACAAACTGCAGCTGGGTCAGAGAGACCCAGAAGATCCAAAAGAAGGCCCAAGGCCCCATAGCAGCTTGCATTGCTTCACAGCTGGGCCTCATCTGGGCACCTCCAAACCCCAAACAAAGAAGAGGAATCTGCATATCTCTCCATAGCGCCTGCATGGTATCTAGCAAAGAATTAGCACCTCCTTAGAGATCAAGTGCCAGTGTACCCAGTGGTCAGAGTGGGATCATCCAGATTACAACTCCTCAGATTACAACTCCTCAGATCCATAAGGGACACACTCAGGGGGTAGACTCAGTGAGCACCAAAGCCCCACTGAAGCAAGTCTTGCCCCATAAGGGTGTCTCCAGCACAGAAGTTCTCCCACCGTAGACACAGCTGATTCTCACAGCCAACTGGCCTGGAGGTCAATTCTTCCCAGTGATACCAACTACAATCAAGGCTTAACTACAACAAGACTGTGCACACAGCCCACAAAGGGGTGCACCAAGAGTGTCCACCTCAGGTAATTGGGGAGGCTGAGCCACTGGGCCCTATAGGACACCTAGCACAGAAAGTCACTCTATTAACACAGGGAAGCAGCCAAAATGAGGAGATAAAAAAACAGGTCACAAATGAAAGAAATGGAGGAAAGCAAACTACTGGATATAGAGTTCAAAACCACGGTTATAAGGTTACTCAAGAATCTTCTAGAAACTGCCAATAAATTTAGTGAGACCCTCCATAAATCTAGTGAGACCCTCGAGGATATGAACAAGGACCAACTAGAAATTAAGCATACACTGACTGAAATAAAGAATATTATACAGAGATCCAACAGCAGACTAGAGGATCCCAAGAATCAAGTCAAAGATTTGAAATACGAAGAAGCAAAAAACAACCAACTGGAAAAACAAAAAGAAAAAAGAATCCAAAAATACGAAGATAGTGTAAGGAGCCTCTGGGACAACTTCAAGCGAACCAACATCCGAATTATAGGGGTGCCAGAAGAAGAGAAAGAGCAAGATATTGAAAACCTATTTGAAGAAATAATGACAGAAAACTTCCCCTACCTGGTGAAAGAAATAGACTTACAAGTCCAGGAAGCGAAGAGAACCCCAAACAAAAGGAATCCAAAGAGGACCACACCAAGACACATCATAATTAAAATGCCAAGAGCAAAAGACAAAGAGAGAATCTTAAAAGCAGCAAGAGAAAAACAATCAGTTACCTACAAGGGAGTATCCATACAACTGTCAGCTGATTTCTCAATAGAAACTATGCAGGCCAGAAAGGAGTGGCAAGAAATATTCAAAGTGATGAATAGCAAGAACCTACAACCAAGATTACTTTACCCAGCAAAGTTATCATTCAGAATTGAAGGTCAGATAAAGAGCTTCACAGATAAGAAAAAGCTAAAGGAGTTCATCACCACCAAACCAGTATTATATGAAATGCTGAAAGGTATCCTTTAAGAAGAGGAAGAAGAAAAAGGTAAAGACACAAATTATGAACAACAAATACACATCTATCAACTAGTGAATCTAAAAATCAAGTGAATAAATAATCTGATGAACATATAAACTGGTGAATATAATAGAATCAGGGGCATAGAAAGGGAGTGGACTGACAATTCTTGGGGGGAAAGGGGTGTGGGGGGTGTGGGAAGAGACAGGAAAAAAATCGTACACCTATGGATGAGGACAGTGGGGGGGTGGGTAAGGGCAGAGGATGGGGTGGGAACCAGGTGGAGGGGAGCTATGGGGGGGAAAAAGAGAAACAACTGTAATAATCTGAACAATAAAGATTTAATTAAAAAAAAAGAAACTATTGCAATAAAAAAAAAGACTAATGACCCTTAAATGTTTAAAAAGATACAAGAAAAATGTCCTACCTTCTAATCTAGTTGAGGAACTATAATATAAACATGCAAATCTCTTTTCAACTCTCCAGTGCTACCCATTTCATTGAGAATAAAATCCAAATCCTTAGCAATAATTTATGAGGCCCCCTAGGATCTGGACCTACATCTATCACCTTATTTCCTGTCACTTTCCCCTTCACGTATTTTACAATGGCCAATAATTACATGAAAAAGTACTCAACATCATTATTTTCCAGGATAATGCAATTTAAAACCATGAACTACCACCACAAATTAAAAAACATGGACTAAAAATACCAGTTATAGGCAAGGATGATGAACACAACAGCAAATCTCTCACAATGCTGGTGGAAGTGTAAATTGTAAAACCATTTTGGAAAACGTTTGGCAGTGACTACTAAATCTAAACATACATATACCTGATTATACAGCAATCCCACTTCTTTGGGACATAAACCCCAAAGTAATTAGTGCTTATGCTCATCAAAAGGCATGTACAAGAATGTGCATAGCCCTTTTAGTCATAATAGCTCAAAACTGGAAGCAATCTAAATATCCACCAACTGAACAGATTAATAGCATTAAAAAAGAATGCTATAATGCAACATAGATGAATCTCATAGATATAATATTGAGAGAAAGAAACTAGACACAAAAGAGTACATACTGATAATTCTATTTTCATAAAGTTCAAAAGACAAAAATAATCTGTGATAACAGAAGTAGTATAGTGATTACTTTTCTTTATTGATTTGTTCTGAATGAGAGGTATTAAATGGGAAGTAGCATGAGGGAGACTTCTCTGGGTGCTAGAAATGTCCTATATCTTAATGTAGGTAGTTGTTGCACAAATATTTTACACATGTATAAATTCCGAGAGTTGTGAATTTAAGGTCTGTGTTACAGTAAAGTTATATATAAAATATATGTTTATATATACATACAAATATCAATATACTGCTTCCACTCCTCTGGGAACTTTTGGCTCTGTCAGGCCATTATTTACTTTATTGCTTCTTTTACTGAAAAGGGAATGGAGTACTACTTGGATAGCTGATGCTGAAATAATTGCTTACCTTTAACAAAGGGCAGCTGCAAAGGTTGGGAAAGGAGAGTGGAAAATTAACTCCCAGAAGGAAATCCTTGTTGCTCAGATATCTCTGCTGGCTCTCCCCTTCTGGCTCTCCCCAGGAGCGCAGCTGATGGAGCCTGTAGGAGGCTTTCAGAGACAGGAAAAGAGCTAACCATCTGAAACAAATCACAGCAGACATGCTTATTCAGTGCTCCATGGAGGTTTGAGGGTAGTTCACAGCAGTGAGGAACTTTGTCTCTCATTAACATATCCCTTTTCTAAATATTGAGCATTTTAGAAACAGTTCTTTCCTACTTTGAGATAAAACCATTTCATATTTCTGTTCTATAAATTCTACCTTTTGCATGACTTGGCTTGCTACTATGAAAACCAAAATCCTCCGTAAAGCTCATCTCAGTATTGAAGAATATTCAATCCTACCACAAAAACTCTATCATAAAAACATCCTCCTATTAGGGAGAGAGCTTTGCCTAATGAGGTCACTATTTATTACATAAAGGCAAGGTAATAAAATAAGGGAAAGCCATTATTACAAAGAATAAGATCATAGAACTAAGTTTCCCAGAACATTTAAGGCAGGGTATGCTGTAATCACTACTAACTAAAGGAATCATTACCCATCATTTGCCCTATGGAAGCGAATAAAATATAGTAGACTAACTAGAAATTAGAAGACCTGAAGACCTGGTAGCACGTGGGAGGAGAGTCTGATGTTCTTATTTATGGTATATCATGAGGCATCCAGCAATTATTAAATGATCAAAAGAGAATTATGACTTCCTAATATAAATTTTCTTTTAAAAAATATTTTTATTGATATCAGAGAGGAAGGGAGAGGGAGAGATAGAAACATCAAAATGATGAAAGAGGATCACTGATCGGCTGCCTCCTGCACGCCACACACTAGGGATTGAGCCTGCAACCTGGACATGTGCCCTGACCGGGAATCGAACTCTGACCTCCCAATTCAGAGGTTGATGCTCAATCACTAAGCCATGCCGGCCAGGCCCTAATATAAATTTTCAACAACACAAAAAGAATGAGAGGCTCTGTAAGATATAACATTAAATATTTAACCTTCATAGTATTCAACCTTTGTCCTTGTTTATTTCCAATGGCTCTCTCATCAAACAACGAGCAAACTCCTCACTCACCTGGCCAAAAGTCCCTGAAGCATGAGGTTTGCCATTTCTGCTGGCGATACATCAATAAAGCGAAGGAAAGAAAAACAGCTTTCTTCATTAACACCTAGAATATCAAAGGACAAAGTTAAACTCAATAACAAGCCAAGAGATAATACTCAACTAAAACCTGTTCGCTAAACTGCTGAATTTTGGCTTAATAATAAAAACATTTTAAAGATTCTGAACCACAGCTACTTTGATGAAAGTCAGGGTGTCATATTTTTGTACCACAATCTTAAGTAGACTAGACAGACCTATGAGATATGGCACAGATGAGCTACAGTGAAGTTGGCTCATTAGTTACATTTGGGGTTTTGGATCCTTGGCTAACTGCCTTCTTCTTTTTATCATGCCAGACCAAAAGAAAAAGAAAAAAGCAAAGGACAGAAGTAAGAGATTCTGAACCATTGAACCTTTGCCTTAATACTACAGACAATGTCCTAAGTTGAGAAGCTTCTTTTCCTTAGACTAATAAGAATCTTGCACTGTCTCTGTCATGTCTTAAGAGTGTAAGAAATTCTTAAGAGTCAGGTATGAAATAAAGCTGGAAGGTCAACGTAATATTTTTTTATTGCTTCCTGTTATAGTCACAAATCATAGCATCTATAGATGAAGATGACTAATTTACTTAAATCTTATCAAGACTTTATAAATAAAAACCTAGCATGCAGGCAAACCACTATTAGTTCCAAATCCGTCATTCAACAAAACAAAGAGAAACATCCTAATAAATCCTTGGCAAACTTTCCTTCCCAAAGATAAAAACACATACCTTTTCTGTGAAAGAGAGACTGTTGGATATAGTCTGGTGCAAATGGAGAAAGAAGAACCCTTAACCACCTGTAAAGCAAGTAAATAAAGTAAATCCAAACCCAAATTTATTTGATTTTTAAAAATATATATTTTTATTGATTTCAGAGAGGAAGGGAGAGGGAGAGATAGAAACATCATCAGAGAGAGAACAATTGATGGCTGCCTCCTGCACGCCCCTGACTGGGGATCGAGCCTGTAACCTGGGCATGTGCCTGACCAGGAATCAAACTGTGACTTCCTAGTTCATAGGTTGACACGCAACCACTGAGCAACACAGGCCTCTTTTACAGATCTCTTTTGGAGCAAGTGCATATTTGCACACAGGAGCATATTTCTCATTTGGAAAAGCAACTAGAAGTGGCTAGGGTCTTTAAGGTCATCCAGTTAGGTAAACCCTTGACAGTGCACAGATTTTCCTACCACAAGATCCCTTAACCCAGTTTAATTATGTTTTAGTGAGGAATTCAAACATTCTCCACTAAAATTTTCTCCACAATCCCACATATTACAAAAACACTCTTTTAGAGTAAACAGATAGTAATATTTGCTCACCTGTCTCGTGAATGGTTGAAGACCCTGATCTGTCCGTGATGGTAGATAAATTTTGAAATCTGGTATGGCTTTAGGGAAATATGAAATGGAGACCAAGTTTCTTGTCGTTCAAATAACTCTGGGTGATTACACACCTAAAAGAAAGGGAAAGAACACAACATTGTTATGTGCAAACATCACTCTATGAAATGATGGGGGATCCCAAACCCTGAATGTTTACGTTTGTGAATAAATACTCTGCCATTTTCATCTCTTTTAAACAACATTTGGTATCAAAGTTAGAGGCCTTTTACTTGAAGTGGGTTAATAAAGACAACTCCAAGGCAACTGATCTAAGCTCTTACCTTTCTAAACTGCATGACCAGATTCATGAGGCTGCTGGTGGTGGTCTGTGCTTGCTGGGTAGAGCCCATAGAAGATTGCAATAAATCCTCAATAGAAATTTTGTTCTTTAGTGCCTGATAGAGTAGCTTTTGTCGACTGGTCAGTTGGCAATACATTAGAATCTCAATCTAAAAATCAGTGAAAACATTTATATTTTGAAAAACAATTTAGAAGGAAATTCAGTATCATCATAAAGTTAAAAACACATGTAAGCCAGATGATTGAAAAAACAATATATGTATCTCTAGAAACACATTATCTCTATAAATCTGTGATGTGGTTAATTATCCAGAAATGTTTTTTTTTCCTTGACTCTCTTTCCATCACTCAATCTACATGCTGTCCCTGGGAAATTTCTTCCATTTCCAATAGCACCAATTATTGCCCATCACAGTGACTTACACAAAAATATATCCCTAAACTCCCCTAGCCCCATACTGTCAACTGCCTACTACAATAAAATAGTACCACTCAGAGAGTGCACAGCAGTTTTATGTTTTTAATAAAAAAATGGTTTTATTGATTTCAGACAGAGGAAGGGGGAGGGAGAGAGAGAAACATCAGTGATGAAAGAGAATCAACTTCCATCGGTGTCTCCTACAGGGGATCGAACCCTAAACCTAGTGTGTGCCCTGACCAGGAATCGAACCGTGACCTTCTGGTTCATGGATTGATGCCCAATCACTGATCCACACTAGCTGGGCAAAGCAGTTTTATATGTCACATATCAGAAAACAATTATCTTTTCCACAATTTACTAAATTGATTAACAGCATTACCACTCACTGAGATGCCCAAGAGAAACTTTAGTCAGCTTTGATTTCTTCTCTCTCTCATACCCCATGTTTAATAATTTCCTAAGTCCCTCAACTCAACCTAGAAATTTACTTATTTATTTTTATTTTATTTTATTATTGATTTCAGAGAGGAAGGGAGAGGGAGAGATAGAAACATCCTATATAATAAAAGCCTAATATGCTAAGTGTCTGGTTGTCCATTCAACCAATCAAAGCGTTGAATGCTAAGGCTGCTCAACCGCTTGCTATGACATGCACTGACCACTAGGGGACAGACAGTCAATTGGTCAACCAGTCACTATGACATACACTGACCACCAGGGGGCAGATGATCCGACTGGTAGATTAGGTTGCTGCTGGGGTCCCGCCAATCGGGACTGAGCAAGATTGGCCGGACATGCCCTGGAGCCCTCCTACGGTCCCTCCCCAGCTGGCCAACTTCTTGCGTCCCTCCCAGCCCCGATCGTGCACCGATGGGTTCCCTCAGCCTGGCCTGTGCCCTCTCAAAATCCGGGACCCCTTGGGGGATGTCAGAGAGCCGGTTTCAACCTGATCCTGCAGGTCAGGCCAAGGGACCCCACTGGTGCATGAATTCGTGCACCAGCCTCTAGTCAATGATAAGAGAGATTCATTGATTGGCTGCCTCTTGCATGCCCCCTATTGGGGACTTCAACCGAGGCACATGCCCTTGACCAGAATCGAACCTGGGACTCCTCAGTCCATAAGTTGAGGCTCTAGCAACTGAGCCAAACCGGCTAGGGCTAGAAATTTACCTCTAACCACTTTTTATGACCATTCCCATTGTGTTATTCTGGAGTCTTCCTGCTGCCAGCCAGTCTCTCCTGATCCTAAAAAAGTTTTCTTACAAATTTTGTAATTCAACTACTGAAAAAACCTTCAATGTACATTTCTGCCTATAGTAAAATATTAAAAATTCTCCAATAGGTAGAAAAGACCTTCCATAATCTAACCCACCCAATTGTCCCAGTCTTATTACTATGTCTTCCTACATACCTTAGCAAGCATGGTCTGAATAATGTTTGCCAAACATACTGTATATTTGAATGTTGCTCTACCTTTGTTCACATTGCTCTTGTTGCCTAGCACCCCCTTTCTATAATTTTCCTAGTAAATGACAACTCGTTATTCCAGATCTACCTCACATGTCATCCCTGCTTTGATGCCATCTAAGAGAACTACTCCCTTGTCTATGTTCCCATTATAGTTCACATAGACAATCATTGTATCTCTATGACACAGTATTAGTTATTTGTCTCCTTTGGAAATCTGAACAGAAACTGGAGACTTTACATATCTATAAGTACCAGTGGATGGCATGCAATAAATAACTATATTAAATAGTATTATTTACTAGATCAGAAACATTACTGATGCCTAAGAAATGTACACTATATACAGTGGTTAAGAACCATACTACATCTTCTGATCACCTCCCTACTGACCATTAACAGTATTATGACACTGCTATTGTTTTCTAAGTCTTCTGTGATAAAAAAAAAAAAAAGCCTCAAGGATCCATTTTTTAAAATAAAGTATATTCCTTCTATCAGGTACATCTGTGTGACAGTGCTCTTTAGTTAAAATCTGCCAATTTCACAAAACAGCCACCAAGATTTTTTAAAAAGAAATAAAACAAAGGTACACTGCTCCTTTCTTTGAAGGTGTGCATCACCACCACAATCTTCCAAAGAGAGTTACTAATTTCAAAACAATCCATCCTTCTGACAGTGATAGAGAAGAACTACCTGATATTATCAGGATCTGGAAAGCTGCCTTTGTTAGAAACAAGTAGACTCTGTGGAATATGGAAAAAACTCCAAAGGACTGAGAACTGGTAGAAAAAAGAAGGAAGGAGAATATGGGGAGAATTCACAGGAGAATTATAGAAGTCTGGTAAAGATACCTGGCCTGTGATATTTATAAACCAAAATTATTGGCTTTGTATGAGAAAAAATATTATAACCCAAAGCACATTAAATTTCAAAATCTAACTCTCAGTTGCAGAAATACAAGAGACAGAGGAACACGTCTGACAACACCAGGATGATGTAATTTGCAAAATCTAGTATGTGGGAAACTCTATAGGACAAATAACTCAGTTTCTTCAACAATGAATGCAAGGGAAAGCAGAGGGAGGAATTAAAAGATACTTAAGCCCTGGGTGGTTGCTCAGTGGTTAGAGCGTCAGCCCAAGGACGGAAGGGTTGCCGGTTTGATTCCCAATCAAGGGCATGTACCTTGGTGCAGTCTCAATCCCTGCCCCTGTCCGGGAGAGTGTGGGAGGCGACCAATCAATGTGTCTCTCTCACATTGATGTCTCTTTTTCTCTCTCCCTTCCTCCTTCCCTCTCTCCCTCTCACTCTCTCTAAAAACCAATGGAAAAATATGCTCAGGTGAGGATTTAAAAAAATAAAAAGACACTTCAGAGACATGTCACCCAAATGCTATGTGTGGATCTTGCTTGGATTCTGATTTCAAAAATCTAATTCTGAGAGTGAGAGTGAGAGTGAGAGTGAAAAAGAGGCGAGAATGAACTAGGGATATCTGAGCACTGACTGCTATGTAATACTACAATAAAGTAATTGTCATTTTCAGTAGGGGCAATAATATGCGGTTATGTATTTTTTAAAAGACCAAATATTTAAAAATACATATGAAAATTTTTATAAATGAAATAAAAGACATCTGGGATCTGCTTCAGAATAATCTAGAAGGGTGGGGATAGCCATGAGTTGATCACTGTTGAAGCTGTTTGGTGACTACAAAAAGGTACATTATATTATGTTTTCTACTTTCATAATATTTCAAATTCTCCATAAATGACTATAAAACAAAAAGAAAAAATATTACTTGCTGTGATTATTTGACTCATATGAAATCTTTGATCCACTCAGGTTTAAAGGTCTTCTCTCAATCAAACTAATTACTTTTCAAGTAAACATTTATAAAGAAACATTTTTTCTCCCTGGAACCCTAAGGTGGTGCCTATTAAGGCTTAATAAACTCATGAAGTTTTCTTTCCTTACCTTGTCAGACAATTCATTTTCTACATCTTTCTTGATTCTCCTCAGCATAAATGGCTTCAAGATCATGTGTAAGCGAGAGAGTTGATCTGAAATGCCAGGAGGACCCCCCCATAAGTAATACATTATTTCAATTTAACACAAACAAAAGAAAAGTCATAAACATCTCTCACTAAACTGTTTTAACACCTTTTGGCTTAATGATTCTATGAAAGAAGACTGAAACAAATTTTTTTTCCCAAGTAGGAGACCAAGGAATCTGAATTTTCCAGAGTATCTTCGTATAGTCAACTGGGCAAATGCATTTTGCTCTCACTCAGACCAACAAAGACCACCTTATTTTTATTAGAATGCACCTTTATAATGTTTAAGGAACATTTTTATCAATAAAATAAGAGTTCTCATATAGGTCTAATGCAAGCTATCTGTGGCTCCCAATGTTACCCAAAATCATGTTTTCAAATTATGTCATCAAATAACAACTTGTAGTATAAGAAATTACTAAGGACTTTTCTAATAGTTAAAAGATGTCACTTCATGTTTATGTAACAAACACATGATTCTCTTAAAAGATAATACTCAACAAGATCAATAGTACTGACACACAATGTTAAAAATGTTCACAGTAGAAACACATTTTAATATAAACAGAAACTAGTATTTTCAGTTTTTATCACAGGAAAAAGCCTTACCCCATTCCACAAAAAACAGAATTCTGATGGGAATTTTTCAGGCTCTATGTGGAAATCTGACTCTGCCTACTCTGCCTTGATTAGCCAACAATACAGTAAAACCTTGCTATACAGACTAATTTGGGTGAGGAGGTGTCTGTTAAAGCTGAAAGTCCGTTGCATAATAAAGTAGGTTTTCTGAATGCGAATGTTAAAAAATTGACAAATTAGTTTACCTGATTTACTCATGTAGACATGTTTGTGTAATTAAAATTAAGTATGTATGAAAAGTGTAACTTTCACAAAAAAGTTTTCTGTATGTATCACTGTAATTTTACATTTATACTAAGTGGGTCTAATAAACGTGTGCATTCACCAGTCACCTCAAGTAAACAAATGCATGCAGCTAGGGTGTAGCTTAGTGAACATGGAAACATCTGGCAAGGCATGCATTAAAACCGCTGCAGAAAGTCACACCACAACACAACAGAACCAATTACTGCGCCCAATGAGATGTGATCGCGTGCTAATCATTCACTGAACATTGTTTACAAGCGGTGACTCTTGGATTTAAATATGTAGAATATAGTTGTAGATATGTAATATTTATTTTGGCAAAATTACTACAGTGCTTTAACAAAAACAACAAAAAACTTGATAATTTAATTATAAGCAAATCTTGGTTAAAAGCATTTTAAAATTAACAGGGTTTTAATTTTCACATATGACACACGGACCAGAAATTTTGTCCGCTAAATTGGAAGTCCTTTAAATCAAGGTCCACAAAATTGAGGGTTTACTGTACAGCAACATCACCTGAATCAATTAGTCCTTTTTTAAAGCCTTTTAAACATAAACAAAGTACATTTTTTTTTACTTTTAATATTGTTTATTCAACTTGATTGCTAAAGATAATGTCCTTCAAACATGAAAAACTGACCTAAACATGACATCTGAACAAAGGACCATAATAGCTTCTAGTTACTGTATCTATTATTAAATTGTTCTTTTTATCTCAATTACTTCTTTCTCTTTAGACAAATATCCCAATCAAGAGGAACCTGTTCTTTTTTTTCTTTTTCTTTATTAAGGTATTACATATGTGTCCCTATTCCCCCCAACCCCAACCAATCGTAAGTATATGAGAAGAAAATTCTACATATAGAAAAAGCATACAATTATGTCTTTGTCTAAACTGATCCATAGAAGAAAGTTCATAAAAGTACTCACTCTCATCAATGGCAGATTTGTTTTCGGCATGGCTCTCAATGTCCTTGGAAAACCACTCATTAAATTCCTCATGTGAATCAAATAATGTTGGCATAATGAAATGCAGCAGAGCCCAGAGCTATAAACAAAAGAAAAGTGAAATAGCTGCAGAGCAACAAAATGACAGTGTGAGGGTTTGGAGAGAGAGTGAAAGTTGCAGGTATGTGTGTATGTCTGTGTCTCAGTGCATGTGTATGTGTGAGTGAATGAGAGGGACAGAAACAGTGTGTGGGCACATACCTCATCACCCAATACTAATTCTATAAAGTGCTACGCAAAATGTAGTTACTTTTCAATGAATTTCGAACTAAAAGTCTGAAAGTGCACGTCCACCTCAGATTTTGCGGTGGAATAGTTTTAAAGATCTTACACATATTAAAAAACCCATTCCACAATTGTGTAACATCTGAGGTAACATAACTTGCTAATTATAACTCCAGATCAGGGGTTAACAAATTATAATCTGTCGTGCCAAGTCTGGTCTGCCATCTATTTTTACAAATAAAGTTTTAGTGAACATAGCCACATTTACTCATTTATGCATCATCCATGGCTGCTTACATATTATAATGGCAAGGTTAAATAGTGTGACAGTGACTGTATTGCTAGTAAAGTCTAAAATATTTACTATCTGGCTCTTTACAGAAAGTTTTCTAACCCCTGTTATAGAAGATCAATTATCTTCCTAAAGAAAAAAATGTTACCTTTTCATTCTAGCATAAAAATATCTCTGCTTTGGATGCGTAGCATCCCTAATGTGGTCACTGTTTATTACATAAATACAAAGAAATAAAGTAACTTATTTGCTTTTTGCCAGAGAATTAAAAAATAGGAATGATGCCAAAAAACCCACTTAGGGTAAGCTATATTCAAATTCTTCTTTATGTGCACAGAGTACTAATACCCAAGGTTGGCATGTGTGAAGACTTCTATTCTCTGCTGGAGCCATTCTGTTTAATGCAGACCTAAAACTGAGACCTAGTGCCTACCTCTGCCATGGTGTTCTGAATGGGGGTCCCAGTTAGCAGAAGCCGATTCCGACACTGGAACTGCAAGAGGATCTTCCAACGAACACTGTCCAAAAAGATGAATTACAAATTCCAAGTTAGCTATAAATCTTTCTCCACCCTACCAAGTCCCCATATTTCTAAAAATGTTTTCCAAAAAAATAACGAACACTCAGAATCAACTACTCCACTATGTACACAATTGAAAAATATTATTCAACAAAGCTGAGGACAGGACATTTCAGAGGACTGATTTCTGCCTCTATACTGAAAATATGAGACTAGGCTTTAGGAAAAAAAGCCCCAAACAGGCAGAGAGGGATCCTTTCTGGCTTGATAAAACTCCTCTTTGTGCTGACACAAACCAGTTCATTATAAGGCACTTATCTGTAGTAGGAAGCTTTAAAATTGATTTTAGGGAAAGCCCATGAGAAGAAAATGCAAAGAGAATCTATCATCTATGGCTATGAACATTTCCTACTTTGAAATAGTGCAATATGAAGTAATGCCCTTCAGATGATGGAATGTTCTATGGAAAATACCATCCTGCCAGTTAACATGGACCTTTAAAGAAGTCCTATGTGTTCACCAACAGTTAATAAAAATGCCTCAAACTCAAGGTTTAATACTACTGAATAACACTTTATAGCCAAACACTCGTTTACTATTCAGTTTGGAAACTTAAAAGTATTAGAATATTTTTCCTGGCTGGTGTGGCATACTTCACTGGAGGGTTGCTGGTTCAATTCCTGGTCAAGGGCACATACCTGGGTTGCAGGTTCCATCTTTAGCCCCAGTAGAAGTGCATGAGGGAGGCAACCAATTGATGTATCTCTCTCACATCCATGTTTCTCTCTCTCCCCCTCCTCCAGTCTCTCAAAAAAAAAAAAAAAAAATCAATAGAAAAAATATTCTCGGGTAAGGATTAACAACAAAAAGTTATTGGAATATTTTAAACATATAAGTTCCAATAAAAAGATTCTTGGGGAATTCTAATAACCATCCAGGGACTAGGACAACTTGCATAAAGCAGACAGAACCTACAATCCACATAAATGTAACATTCTACTTCCTACTAAGACCTCCTGTCTAAAATAATCTCTCGAGGAAAGGGCAGGCGCCCCTTCCTCCACAAAAATTTTCCTTGAAGAACAAAGATCTATTAAAATGTCATAATTATTGAGTAGGAAAACAGAATGAGAAAAATCCTTGTATTTTCAACATTAATATTTATGTTCCATGAAAAATGCAAAAGGGAACTTCTGACTTCTGGTCAGATGAATGGCTTATGGGGAGACCATATCATTCCATCTTCTGAAACCTCTCTGATCTTTATTTTCATGTGTGTATATAGCACACAGATACAGTTGACCCTTGAACAACATGGGTTTAAACTGTGAGGGTCCATTAACGTGGATTTTTTTTCAATAAATATAGTAAATGTATTTTCTCTTCCTTATAATTTTCTTAGTAACATTTTTGTTGTTGTTGTTTTTCTTGTTAATACTCACCTGAGGATACTTTTTCCATTGACTTTTTTTAGAGAGTGAAGGGACGGGGAGAGATAGAGAGAAACATTGGTTTCCTACCGCACATGCCACAATGGGTCCAGGGATAGAGCCTACAACCAAGGTACAAGCCCTTGACCAGAATCGAACCCATAATCCTTCAGTCTGCAGACTGACACTTTAACCACTGAGCAAAACCAGCTAGGGCAGTATCATTTTCTTTTCTCTAGCTTACTTTATTGTAAGAATTCAATATATAATACATGTAACATACAAAATTTGTGTTAATCGATTATTTATGTTATTGGTAAAACTTCCAGTGTTTGGAGAGTCAAAAGTTTTATGAGGATTTTCAAGTGTGAGGAGTTGGGGGGACTGATTTTGGCACCCTTAACCACCACACTGTTCAAGGGTCAACTGTATATCATATTTCTACATATCCTCAGTCCAAGGAGTTTGGGTTCTACTACTCATGTTACCTGGAACTACTCTTGAGTGCCTGAGCCTCGTCCAGTACCATGTACTGCCACTTGACCCGCTGGAAATACTTTACATCCTGCACCACCAGCTGGTAGCTGGTGATAACCACGTGGAAGGGAGCATCCTGAGTGTAAAGGGTCTTCTGTAAATATAAGAGGACAAGGGCGAAAAGAAATAACAATTCATATGAGATAATGAGGAATACATTGTATTTTCTAAAGCCAAGTTTATGATAGCTCTAAAGATGTGCTTCTCCCACCTGGGAGATGTACAGTGAATTAAACAACTGTTTTTAAAGTAGGACCTTAATCACGAATCATCATAAAAACTAGTATTTAGCTTATTAAAGAAAAAAGTTCTTATTTAATCCTGGACTTCAATCAAATCCAGCTGACTGTCTATAATAGGAAAAACATCATAACAATGTAAAAGAAAAAAAGTGTACTTGCCTAGTGCCAGAAATATATAAGAAGATTTTGTATATGAGAAATTACTCAAATCAATTGAAGAAATAATGATTTCATATATATACATGTGTGCTTGTATATGTATATATTCAGTAAGCTGAGAGTTACCTGACTCCAGAATCTCCTTATGACTTTTCTATCATGAGGATTTCCCCAATATGGTAGCACCTGGAAAAGGACCAATACATTACTCAGAAGGATTTTAAAAGAACCTAAAACAAAATAAATCTAGGAATTCCTCTTCTGTCATGGCTTGACTAGTACTCCTCCCGCTGACCAAATTAAAAACACATATTCAAAACATCTGTTTGAAAGTATCAAAGAGCTAAGCTATTGAGGCAGTGGAGAATTAAAGAGACAAGATCCAGAAAAGAAAGCAAGCCGAGAAAGGAAATCCTGTCACCTGTACATGGTCCCCCTGAAAGTGATCCTTTCCAAAAGTTCTGGTTGAGAGGCTAAGAAACTGAGCAGAGGTTTTTTTTGTTGTTTTTCCTTAAGAGATGTGGAGCCCACAGGACAAAAACTGTAGTCCAAGGAGGAGGGATTCTGATAAGCATCAACCTCCTTGGCCTTAAGTTAGGATCAAAGAATATATACACACTAGAGTCCCGATGCACGAAGAGTAAGCCTTCCTTCCCCTGGCTGCCGGCAATAGCTTCCTTCTGGCACCCGGGACGCAGGCTTCCCTCGCAGCCCTGGCTTCATCCAGAAGGACGTCCAGTCTAATCAGCATATTATGCTTTTATTATAGACTAGAGGCCCAGTGCACAAACATTTGTGCACTCGGGGGGGGGGGGGGGATCCCCTCAGCCCAGCCTGTGCCCTCTCGCAGTCTGGGACCCCTCGGGGGATGACCACCTGCTGGCTTAGGCCTGCTCCCCGGGGGGATCGGGCCTAAGCTGGCAGTCAGACATCCCTCTGGCAGCCCGGCAGCCCTCGGGGGATGTCCACTTGCCAGCAGGGAGCAGACCTAAGCTGGAGCTGAACATCCTTAGCGCTGCTGAGGAGGCGGGAGAGGCTCCCACCACCACTGCTGTACTGGCAGCCATCAGCCTGGCTTGTGGCTGAGCAGAGCTCCCCTTGTGGGAGCTCACTGACCACCAGGGGGCAGCTCCTGCATTGAGCGTCTGCCCCCTGGTGGTCAGTGTGTGTCATAGTGACCAGTCATTCCCAGTCATTCTGCTG